CCATAGGTAACTGTCTAAACATAGCATAACATAGCTAGTCTTGTCCTGGGGCTGTATATCCTGTACCTTGTAAGGCTATTTTGAGTTCTGACATTGTAAATTCCACATCAAGAGCTGACCTATTATCCTGTCTCTTCTCCTTCACGTTTTCATTCTCTGCTAGTAACTGCTGTTTTTGCTGCCTATGAATATCACTGAGATGCTCCCCGCTATGTACTGCTGCAAGTGTCCTTCCTAACATGTCTGCCTTCTCTTTATCTGTCACTGCCAGCCTCTCCCCATCAATCAAAGCTGGAATTTTAATGGATTTCCTTTTCCCACTCATCCGCTTAAACATGGACCAGACATCACCTAATTTTACTCCTCTGCCAATGGTAGAACAAAATTCTCTCCATGTTCTTTTTTTTGTGTATTTGATTGTCCTTCGAGCAGCTGCCCTTTTCCTTTGAAACTCTATAACATTATTTTGTGTCATGTTTTTCTTTAATTCTCTAAATGCATTATTTCGCTCTTTAATAGCCCTGCTGCATTCCTCATTCCACCATGGCACCACTTTCTTCCTACCCTTGGTTGTTGTTTTGGGTATACTGTTCTCTGCTGCATTTAGAATATGTTGCGTTATTTGGCTTGTAATTACCTCTATGCTTCCCTCTGATGTTAGCAGGTGTACCGACTCCTCACACCATATCCTAAATTTCCCCCAATCAGCTTTAGCAAAGCACCACCTGGTTATTGCACCTCCTTCCTGTATATATATATACATTAGTATTCATTTTAGTAAGCACTGGATAATGGTCACTTCCTACTGTGGATTTATTCAAAACAAACCATTCGCATGTATGAACCAAACAGTTTGACACTAATGTCAGATCCAGGCATGATACTTTCCCCCTGTGTACATCTACTCTTATGCCATGTCCATCATTAAGGCATACTAGTGTTCTTTCCTCCAGCATTTCTTCCACTATATTTCCGTTACTGTCTGTATGGTTGCTGCCCCATAGACTGTTGTGTGCATTGAAATCACCACACCAAACTTCCTTCCTATGTTTATTGCCTGCTATTTCTTTAAATATATCAGTGGTTAGATTTTTACATGGGTTGTATAAATTGATTATCCTAATGTTATCTTGTTTCCTAGGGTTGCAGATTTCCACTATAATACACTCTATATCATCAGGAGATTGCACCTCCCTATATGCCACACCATCTTTGAGAAACGTGGCACACCCTCCAACATTTTGATTATTATCTCTATCATGCCTTATACAGCTAAATCCTGGAATGACAAAGTCTAATTGAGGTCGTAACCAGGTTTCTTGCACACATATTACCTCAGGGACTACCTCTAGATCATATATATATTTCTTGAATTCTTGACCATTAGCTATGAGGCTTCTTGTGTTCCACTGTAGTATGTGCAGCACCATGATTAAGGATCTAACCCTCATCCTGATTTTCATTTTCCCCAGCTCCATTTATAGTTAGCATTGCATGTATCTGATCTGCTTTAATATCTTTCATGTCAAGGAATTTTCCAGCTGCCTCCACAATGGCTTTGATTCTATCACTTTTCTTTTTTAACTGCAATGCAACATTTACAGTATGGCATATAAATACCACAAAATGCACCTTTTTCACTCCTAAAACATCATCATCCTCTTTACTCTTGGTGGCGCTGTGGGGTTGGATTTGAAGATTACTTTTTGGCGTGTTCCTGACATTTTGTATTGTAATGCTCTGCTCCATTCCACTAGGGGTCTTATTGATTGTTACTGTTCCCCTTACTTTCTTTATTGCTTCTGCGTATGAAACTTTGTTTGTAATCTTAACTCTCTGCACCTCTCTGGCCTCTCTCTGCACTTCACAACCTCCAAACGCAGCACTGTGATCTCCTTCGCAGTTACAACATTTAACCTTTGCATCCTTTTCACATTTTCCATACTCATGTTGTCCTCCGCATCTCGCACACCTTAGCTGTCCTTTACACTGCTGCGCTGTGTGCCCCATTCGTTGACATGCGTAGCACCTGAGAGGTTTGGGGATGTACTCCCTAACCATGAAGTTCAAATATCCCATTTGTACTGCCTTAGGTAAGATTCTCTCAAACTGAATGAGAACTGATAATGTTTCTTTGAGTGTGCCATCCCGTTTGCTTTTAAGCCTTGTGACTTCCACTATTTTGCCTCCTTTTAATTCACATCTTCCATTGACATGTCCAATGGTACTCCTGAGATTACTCCTCTCAGTTTTGCCATTGCTCCTGGAACATGCGCCTTCATTTTCTCCCCATTCAGTGAGTTCATTCCCAGAATCTTTTCCTGCTGCTGTTTGTTATTGGCATGTATCAATACCCGCTTATTGTTCATGAATTTAGCAAATTTAATTTTTCCAATCTCTTTTTCAATTGCTTTGGTAAGTTTAATCGGGTGGTAATGCCCACCATCCTGATTGAATTCTATTACCACTTTCCACTCGTGTTCTATTTCTTTATTCAACATTGCTTGACTGTCATTTTGACTGACTCTTGATTTTTTGTTTTGCTTAGCCTCACCCGACCAATCCGACCAACTTCGAGCTCTTACTGAACTATCTCTTTCTCTCAAAGATCTTTTCTTCTTCGCAGCTTTGGCTATCATCCATTCCAAATTGTTTCTTTGGCTACCATCTGAGCTGGTTGACATGATGAAACACTCAATGTACAGTTTATGCAAATCCGCCAAAATAACAGTCCAATGCTACCGTTTCTGTATGTATCCGAATTTCCGATTCTCTGTGAACTTTCTGCCACGCGTCTCCAACTTCACTTCCTTCTTCCAGCCGCCGCGCACTGCTTCCCCGGCTGGCCTGATCCATGTAAAACAATGAAGCTCAACAGATAGAGTCATACAGGTTGAAGCTAAACTAACAACCAATCACATGACGGTGTTTTCCTCCTCAGAACATCGACTCAGCCAATCTGGAGCCGGTGAAATACCACGAGGCTGTTTTCAATAACGTATCAAGATTATTACCATCACCTGTTTGTCTCCTCTGTCCTCAGTGGGTTCCTCGAGGGTTCGGCTGTCTGTTATTGGTTATATTTTGAACACTAGATGGCGCAGTGGGGCAACAGCATAGCATTGATGTCCCTGGTACAGGTGTGTGATATGGGACTGGGAAGAATAAACTGTTTTCTGACCGTGTCGCCGAGCACAAAATATACAAAATAAAATGGTATTGAAAGCAAAAAACTTCGTCGTCAAAGGAGATCACACTCGTCCAACTAAATCACCCAGTTTAGCAAATCCCTCTGTGATATTGAGTGGCAATAGTCACCACATTTAAGACAGTGAATATATGGCAATCTACACTGAATTATATTTTAAAATGGAGAGCTGTGCAGACATGTGTGCAAAATGCAGAGAGCTTAGCATGAACATGGCTCACAGTATTAAAAACAAGATGTTGTTCACATGATGTGCATTAATGTAATGTTATTATGGGGTGGATACCAGTCACTGTCAGTGGGGGTCCTGGCCTTGTTGGTGAAATGAAGTCAATGTATTTAAACAATATGAAGACACTTGAGCTTTTGCTTTAGAATAAGCATTTTCAAACTGGTTTATAAATTGGGAAAGAAATATGTGGACAGTCATTAATACTTACCCTTATCTTATCATTCATTGCTTTAATAAAAAACAGATTTCATGGCTTCTTCTGCTTTCTTCTTCGACGCCAACTCCACTTAACTCGACCCAGACTCAAAGCATCCTGTGGTGAGTCTGTTGTTAAATTCAGGAAGGATATAAGTTCTATTTTTACCTGGAAATTGCATTAAATTCAGTTTGACCGTTTTGTAGGCACATTGAAGAATAAATGAGACTAAGGAAATAAAGTGATGTGCAGTAGAGCGATATTTATTTACTATGAGGGGGACATGTGCACCAGATGTAATAAAAATAACTGAATTATGCGCAAACATTTTGGTATTCGTGAAATGTTTTAAATTAAACCCGGAGGTTAAAATAGAAGCCCTGGAGCTATAGGAGCTGCACACGGCTCTTATACAAGGATGGGTTAAATGTACAGACGTGGCCAAAAGTTTTGAGAATGACACAAATACTGCAGCATGTTATGAAGAGTGATTTGCAATTTATTTCAACATCCCTCTTTGCTATGAAAATGAACTTAATCCTGAAAAAGGAGGGAGGTTCAATTGTTGTGAAGAAGGCTTCAGGGCGCCCAAGAAAGTCCAGCAAGCACCAGGACCGTCTCCTAAAGTTGATCAGGAGCAGGATCGGAGCACCAGCAGAGCACCGTTTGATCAGGAATAGCAGCCGGTGTGAGAGCATCTGCACACACAGTGAGGAGAAGACTTTGGAGGATGGCCTAGTTTCAAGAAGGGGAGCAAAGAAGCCCCTTCTCTCCAGGAAAAACATCAGACACTGATATTCCACAAAAGGTATACAGGGATTGGATAGTTGAGGGGTGGGGTAACGTCATTTTATCTGACGAATCCCCTTTCAGATTGTGTGGGAAGTCCAAAAGAAAGCTTGTCCGGAGAACAAAAGTTAACGCTACCATCACTCCTGTGTCATTCCAACAGTAAAGCATCCTGAAACCATTCATGTGTGGGGTTGCCACTGTATTTAAAACTATTTGGCATTGCAATGACAAAGTAGCAGGAAATCACTCTTAAAAAAGTTTAGTATTAGTCAAAGACCACATTACCTGTGCTTCAGTTTGATATTTAAGCTAGACATGATAGTGGGATATAAAGGACAATTTCAACCAGATTTTTCAAAAATAACACATGCATTTTTTCATTAAAAACAAGCCCTCAGTATGTGCTGTGTCTGGAAGTATTTTATCATTTGTAATGTTATGTATTAACTTTGTGAACTAAGCATCCAATGCTTGTTGCACCATAAGTGTTGTGAAACATTCATCACAAACTCTAAATGTCCTTCACATGTGTAAATACAAGAATATCAATAAAGGGATTCTCAAAATTGTTCTGTGTAAGATGTTTATTTCAACAATTGTTTCGGAGAGAAACCGTTCAGCTGTACAGTTTGTAAGAAATCCTTTACAGAGAACTCTGACGGTACTCGTATAGCACTTTGTCCAGTCGCTACGACTCAGAGCTTTACATCCTCCTGTCCTCCTTCACCATCTTGCTGCTGCCTTCAACGCACTGCACCTGAGAATACAAAGAAACTACATTTAGTGAAATTCAAACACTTTTTCTAAGGTCATTATTTAAGAGCTAATCTCAGTCCCATATCCGCGAGTTTCATCCAACAGTCCTCTTGTTTTAAATTCATCATAGATCAGGAAGTTATGAAATGATGCAGACAAATCTCCTTAAATACCTCATGTTACATGGAGCCTCTGCATCCCAAGGACATCGGATTAGATCTCATGGGCAGATTGATGCCTGCAGGAAGAGAACAGCATTAAAACTAGAGAATGCAATTCCTGAAGAAATTGCTAGTGGGAATGCTTTATGCTGAAAAGCTGACGCTAAATTGCTATGCTTAAATGTAATGTGTAAGAAGAAAGTGAAGAATTTAGATTGAAATGATACATGAACACTGGGGGCTTGAATGTGTGATGAGAAGAAAAGAAAGTAAAAAGGCTTGGAAAAGCAGCAGAATATTTGAAATGCAAACTTTTGAACTAACTTGATGGCGAATGATCTGTCGCCATGCCAATGGCATTTGATGACATCCCATAATACGCTTAGATGCGTTGATGGCTGTGTTACCAAACCTGTGAAGTTTAGGGCCATTTGGAGCATTTTCACTGAAGTTATGAGAAAACCGTGTTTCATGGCGGGCATTGTGTTGCCATGGCAACGGCATGTCCCGTAGATGTCTTCACGGCTGGACTGTTCGCACACATGTGAAGTTTGAGCACTTTTTGAACATTTTCATAGGAGTTATAGCAACATCATGTTTTATGGAGGGGGATGCGTTTCCATGGAAACGGCATATGGTGAGATCTCAGATTTGGCGTAGAGCTGTTGAGGCATGGACCGGTGATATACAAGTGAAGATTGGGGACGATTCGACCGTGTCGATTGGACTTACAGCGACATCGTGTTTCATGGCGAGTGGTCTGTCGCCATGGCAACGGCATTTGAAGAAATCTCAAAACTGTCCCGTAGATGTCTTCACGGCTGGACTGTTAGCACAGATGTGAAGTTTTAGCACTTTTTGACAATTTTCATAGGAGTTATAGCAATATCGTGTTTTATTGCAAGGGATGCGTTGCCATGGCAACAGCTTTTGAAGAAAACTCACTAATGGTATATAGACATGTTGAGGGCTGGACCATTAACTGTCATCTGAAGTCTGGTGGTGTTTGGACCATTTGCATAGGTATCACGACAACATTGTGTTTTATGGCGAGGGATGCGTTTCCATGGAAACGGCTTATGGTGAGATTTCAGATTTGGCGTAGAGCTGTTGAGGCATGGATCGGTGTGGCAGAGAGAAAGTTTGAGAGAGAGAGTGTGTGTATGAAATGAACAGTTATGCTGCGTTCACACCGGACGCGATGCGAATATTCGCATCGCTCTAAACGCTCGAGTTTCACCGCATCATTCAAACAAGACGCGCTGGCTCGGGAGCTACAACAAGATGAACATATTTTACCGTGATTAAATTGTAATACACGTTTCTAAATGATGCCGAAGTAACAACACACTGATACCGGTCAGTAAAAACCATGAATTAATTAATGCTTGACAAGTCTGCAGACAAGACGGCAGGCGAAAAACCTTTTAAAATGCTTGTTTTCTGAATGAAGATCGGGTCGACCAGGCTAAGCTAACATTGTATATGCTCATTCCACACTCATATCAACGGCCTACAGACATAAATAAACCAGCGACTGTATTCGCCATGACACAGACAGTCTGTGGTTTGTACTCGTTTAACTTTTGTCCAGTTTCTGAACAGATATGAGGAGCTGTGAGCTCTTTGTGCTAACTGCTAACTGCTGATGTGTGGTTGAACGTCAGTGACGGCACTGGCTGAGATCCTCACCGCTGATTGGCTTCCGCGAGAACGCGTCACGTGAATTTGACGCTCGAGTTGAAAAAAATTGAACTTGCACCGTTCAATCGCGTCCACCGCTTCATGCTCGCCGTCGGAGCTAATTCGCGTCTCTGCATTGACTTTACATCGCATCGCGTCCGGTGTGAAAGCAGCATTAGAACTGACTGCTGTCAGTTGGAGTGATGACATCATCGTGTTCCATTACACAGGTGTTTATAGTTGAGCTAACGAGCTATGAAAAGATCAAAGGTTTCATTGTTCTGAATGAGAGATGAACCTCTTACATGTGAACGTTTTGTGGAAGAACGATAACAGATATCTGAAATTTCAAAACGTGAAGCATGTCAAGGAAGTTGAGTATCTGAAGTTTAATTTTTGTGTACTTTCGGGTTAATAATGTGGCCTTTTTGGCAGTTTAACTAAAGGTGTGCGGCTGCTGCTGTGTGGAAATATCTGCCTGAAATTACAATGGGCTTTAATGGAGACATTTTGAACGTTTTTGTCACTTCATGCCCTCAAGAGGCATTTTGTTTAATTATTTTGCTTAATTATTTGTCATTTTTCAAGCTACGAGATGTTTTCCTACGTTTGTCATGAAAAAGTATGTCTCAGGAATGTAGAGTTTGGGAATTATGGCAGTTTAAAAAAAAAATATGAAGGGAAATTTCAAGATTTCCTACGCACTCTAACTTAACGAGCTGCGCAATGTTAAAGTTCAAATGTTAAAAATGTGATGTATTATGGGATGTATCTCTGGAAAAGGTGTAAGAACCCTGATAATTCCAAAGTCAAATTCAAGCACTTTTCAAGCATTTTCAAGGTGCATTTTCATGCTTTTCAAGCATCTTACAGCTGTTGTAAATTACATATTTATATACACATACTTATACTCAAATGATTATTTCCCTACCTCACATTAAATCAGATGTTCTTTATGCTATAAACAACCAAATGTGTGTTTCATAATAGCATTCTACATGAGGATGAAAAATTAAAAATGTTAGAAAAGAAAACTAAGTTTAATATTTCAAAATGAGTGACCCATCTGTACGTAGACTGGGCATCCCATATAACCTGGCTGAGCCAATATAAAACAATCAGCCAAATAACTTTTCAATATAGTATAGATTACTATTTTTGAGGTACTTTTAGGTTGGCAGTAAACACAAGTCAGAGGTAAGTGTACTTTGACTCCACTACATGTATTTAATAGCTTTAGTTACTTCACAGATGTGGATGAATGATGTGAAATATAATCAAGTGTTAAATCAGACTTTAGTTCCACCTGGAGTAAATTCACAAGCTACTCTGTAGTATACAAAGTCATTCAAACTAGCTGCACCTTTACCAGCTTTGAGAACACTTTCATGATCAATCATTATAAAACATATCATATACAATTATTAGGGATGCTCCGATCGCCAATTTTGGAGCCGATCGCCGGAATCAGTATCGGCCGATATCGCTCTCTTTTCCTCTCTCCCCCTCTCTCCTGACAGCCCGTCAGTATCTCCTGCAGCTCACTGATCCAGTAATGAGCGACCCGACAGTGAAGAATAAATATATTTATAACTAGTTTAGCTTGTTCCAGAGGTAGATAAAATAGCTAAGTGTGTTAGGTCTAACTCTTAATGTGTGTTCTGCTCCGCTCACCGGTCCGTCACAGCGGGTGGAGCTGCAGGATTTCTGCTTCACACACACGTTGCATTCCGCTATTTTATTGTCATTTTCGGACACTTAAAATACTGCCAGACTAGTGAAGCCATTTTGGCGAGCTTGTTTTGCCGCGCACAGAGAAAAGTGTCATGTATTTAACATGCAACGATAGCCTAATCTAAAATTCTCTACGATGGCGTACCTTTCGTGTGGTGTGTGGCTCGTCAGCGCAGACTCTCGCATCGTTATTGTTGCACACTTTGCAGGAGGCTACTCTTGGGCTTCGCTTGACCCTCGTCTTAGCCATGGCTTGTATTTGTCTTCTGCTAGCCAACGCTCGTTGAAACGGCAACCTCCTGGCATACTGTCATCTATCACTCTCATCAGAATGTCCAGGTCACACACGTAACAAAAACACTTGCCGGTCACGCGCATTGCGCGGGAAGGCCGGAGCGGAGCTGTTTTATGTAAAAGCGAAGCCATTAAGCGCGCTCCGACTTCTTTATTTTCTTTTAATCTAAAAAGCGAAGTAAAGCATTTACAATTTCAAGCACTTTATCCCAAATTCAAGCACCATTCCCAAAATTCAAGCACTTTTCAAACCTTGAAAACACCTCGTACAATTTCAAGCATTTTCAAGGATTTCCAGCACCCGTACGCACCCTGAATTATGGACGTTTTGATGCTTGAACGGAGTTTCTCCGAGTTTAGGAGGCCATCTGGAAAGTCCTTTGCTGTGATTTAATAAAAATCAGCCCTTTGAATTACTTTTTATTAATTTATCCAAAACTGCCAACAACTGACCAAAAATGTTCTGACGCCAACTTCTGGCTCACCATCAATCAAAATGAGAAGGAGAGTCGAGGAGTGAGGAGGGAGGAGAAGACAGACAAAATAATTGGACGGAATAATAAACTTTTCTTCCGTAGCATAACATATAGAAGAAATAAAGAACTGTTGTTGCGCAGTAAGCATTTCTGCATAATGACGTGAGGATCTGTTGGACAGTTGAGTGGCTGCTGATGGCATAAGAGGCCAGAACAGTCAAAGACCGACCTTTTATCTGGCATGCACTTGGAGAACCCTAGAGCTACAGACAAGCCCTGGTCCTTAGGATAGCATGCTGTGAATAAATCATTTTATACAAGATATTTGAAATTACCTTGAAGTGAGACATCCTCATGAAGTCACGGCAGCATCAGGATCAGTGCCTAGTGCTCAGCCATCATGGTCACCTTAAGAAAGATAAAGAAACTGTGAGTTTGAAACACCTATTATTTAAAGTGGCTTAGTTGTTAGCAAAAGTGGCTCAGTTATCTAAGTTGTCTCAATCAGATCTAATCAGTGAGGGCAAGTTTGTCATCACAGCCAAAAATAATCCATATTTAAGGTGTAGTTTAAAAACATACCTGCAGGTGATTTAGTCATCTTATTTCTCTCTGCATCAGCGTTATCAAACACCTGAAGAAAGAGAGACAGCAATTAGAGCAGAAATGCATTAACTTTGATTCAGTCTGAAGGGTCCTTCCCTTAGTGTGGCTCAGTTATCTAAGTTGTCTCAATCAGATCTAATCAGTGAGGGCAAGTTTGTCATCACAGTCACTTTTTATAGTTGAAATATAACTTGGATGTTCTACCTCAGACTGTGGGGGTGCATTGGGGGAGAGGGATCACTCTGGAGACCGTAGCCCTCTCCAGTCACCCTGCTCGGTTCCTGCTTGGTTCCTGCTTGGTTCCTGCTCGGTTCCTGCTCGGTTCCTGCTCGGTTCCTGCTCGGTTCCTGCCCCGCCCTGCCATTACTGTAGCCACTTTATTCCTCAGCAGGGAGGGAGGGGAGGGGGGGGGGGGTGTACCTCATGAAATGGGTTCACATTCTTCAGGAAGAACTCTGATGTCGCGACTACCCGGCCCGGCTTTGGAATATTCTTGCTCCAGCCACGCATGGTATCCCCCCGTCCCCTCCCAGTGGACCAGTGATGTGGGGGAGAGGGCGAGTCCTTAGCCCCGAGTACCTGAACAGGGCCTGGTTAGACTGCCGCATGGGAGATCAGACTAGCTCAAACCAAAGTCATTGCATTTGTTTGTTTCTCCCGACAGGATCCGCAGAGAGGACGGTGTTCCTTCACTACAGGTTTATGAGAGACTCAATTTGCCCCCCTGTGTTAATCACCAAGGACATTTATTAGTCCAGGGTGGGCAAATAGGGGGCATGGTGTGTTTTTACGTTTTAAATGCATGTGACGTGCACAGATGCCAACGTAGTAAAGATGAAATTAAACTCTGGCATGGCGACTATTGGAGGTTCGTACTTCAACCAAATGGCTCGATCTACTACGATCCTGGTCCCGTTCTCCTGTAGCAGCTCCGCGTCTCCACATTCTAAAACGCGGAGTCCCTCCACCTTGATTTTTTTTGTCATGGAAAGAAGCTACAGAACATAAAATGTAGTCATTGTTGCCAGATGTTTAGTAAAATACTAGCCATATAGGGCGCATGAGTAAAACACCTTGAGTACTTTACTCACCTCTACCTCCGTGAAGGCTGTGGAGTGGAAGGAGAAACCGTGGTTCGGGGCATTTTTGCCACGCAGATGGCTCACCTGGATCAACATGCCATCTGTTATGGGAACCAGATTGGACTCCCTCCAGAGGCAAACCTGGATCTCCCCCTCATCCTGCAAAAACAGAACGGGCTACATAAGTAGTGCTTAGTCACAGGTACAATGTGATTTAGGCAGACACTTCCCAGAGCATTTCAATTGCACTTGAGAGATAAATGTTTTGTTACAGAGTATAAATCAGTTGTTGGACATAATTTCCACTTCTCCCTACCTCTTTTAGTGTCACATTCCTGAGTGGGACTGGTAGTTCTGAGCCCATCTGATGTTTTATAATTGGCTCAATCTAAATGTTGCAGGTAAAGGGGATATATATATATATATTATGCACATGTCTCTGGAATTGTAACTTATACAATGTTTCTTTGGTGTAATAACATGTATGTTTCCGGGCAACCGGAAAGCCCGTGCATCATGCCAGCTACCAGGGTGGCCCACATTGACGTGACAGAATCGCCGCTCACTGTCACAGAACCCAGTAAGCACAACAGAATGAAACTGTTTTCTGTTGAGGTATGCTACTGGGTTCTCGCAGTGTGGTTTCACAATGGGAATGTGGCATCCATCTACCGCACAGTCTGTGTTGGGAAATCCCCCCCCCCCCTATAGGACTCTTGGTTGGATAGAGTCCACAGACAGGCAAGGACACTGTTTTGGAGCGCCACTTTACTGTGCTGTCTGTTCATGTAGAACGGGCCAATAGTCGTCATCACATCCTGTTTGGTAGAAAGGAATAAATGGCTTTTAATATCACCAGTCCAGATAATACATATTTTATGTTATATATATATATACACACACACTTCCACATGTCCCCTGGACAATCGGAAATGACTTTTAAAGTCTGAAGGACTGTACTGTGGGACCACTTCTTCCACAAATTGTTGGACCTTGGGAACGGATCTAAGGAAGGCAGACACAGCAGCAGATGAGCATAAATCATTAGACCTATTCAACATTCTTTAGTGTTTTGCAGTTGTTGCCATAACTGCTGCTGCTGTAGGCCTATATTATCTTCACTTGATTTCAGTTTTATTCTTGTTTATTGTATCTTTGTACTACTATCTTGCTTGCTTTCTATATCTTTAGTAAAGTAGCTTTTATCTTATCCCATTAGGAAAAAAGACTAATAGTGTCATAATTTTTGCACAATTTGTGATCTGTAGAGTAAAGTAATCAGTCCGGATAATCGATCATACTTTTTAATTTATACTGATGCAGCCAGTGGTAGGCCTAGATACATGTAGTAGCCTACAATGCATTTTGTCTTTTTACTTGTGTATTTTTTGTCTATCTTTTTGTTACCTGCCTAGGTACTACGGATGTAAATTAGCACGTTTGCTCAAAAGCATTTACATTTTTTATACTGCTGTTCATTAAAATGGTATGTCCCTATCAAATAAAAATATACGTAATTACCTCCGCAGACGGTATTCATCATGCCCTTCTCCATATAAATAAATAAGGGATTTCTATTGCATCCACAACGAAGAACGCCAACGCAATTTCTGCCATTGCAAACCGAGTCAAGCCGACTCAGAGCTGTCCGACTTCAGGCAAGCTTTTTGAGACCTCCCCCGGCTGCAATCGGCTATTCTCGTCTACTTTCGAGGCGAGCCGCAGCTCATCAACACATAACTTTAACACCACAGAACAGGTAAAAAGGAAACAGATCGTACCTTGGGGCCCAGCCCCTACTTTCGAGGGTAGGTGTCTCTCTCCATGATGACCCTCTTGATCTTAGCGACCACGCCGTGGTCATCAGAGCCACGCCTGCACACAGACAGTATTATCATTATTATAACCCTGGGCAGGTGAGGTAATTAGAGTCCTCATCAGCGTTTCCGCCATGGGGGCGTCTTGCCGTCATTTGACGCCCTTATTCAGCTCGGGACGCCCTGAACTCGAGCCGAGGGCGTCCAAACATTTTAATAATTCGAGAGAAGAGCGAGAGTTTTTATCGCTTGAAATAACAAATAGGAAAAAGGACATCCCTCTGTTGGAGAGGCAAAGGAGTCTGGTGGGATTCTTTTCGGAGTATTGAAGATTGTTTCCCCGACATCGGCGGTGCCTGCTACAGCACAACACGGAACGTGCGCGATTTGGACGCGATGAGCGGTGCTAGTGGAGCACGCGCGTGAACACCAGAGCCTCGCAGCGGCGAAACTGAGGCTCCGTGGTAAACTGTGGTAACATGAAGAGCCGCTTGGGAGCCGAAACAGCCGGCGCTTTAAGAGAGCCGAGCCAAATGATCCGGCTCACTAACGTAAAAAGACAGTATCTATAAGGGACGGCTCAAGTCAAAATTCAAGCACCCGCCCCCCCCCCCCGCTCTCGGGGTGGACGCCCTCTCAGCCCTGGTCTGGCGGAAACACTGGTCCTCATTAACGAGCAGCCATCAGACTAGGGTGATAGATGAGAGGTCCTCACGGCCCGGAGGCTGCGGCATCTATACATGTCATCATGTGGCTCACAGACAGACACGCACACAGAGACAGAGACACCTCTGCTCCGTTATCTTCGACCACAGCAACCTCCACGTCTTTTTCCCTGGGGTTTCCTCGGCTCCGTTCTGTGCAGCAGGGGCTTCCTCTGCCTCGACCTCCATCTCCTCGGCCGCTGGCTTTGTGTCTGCGTCTCCATTTTCTGCCTGTAAGACAGTAAAAAAGGTTAATAACTATATTCATGTTTACTCCAAGCCCTCAATGTATATACATCCTGCTCTATGTGGATGTAATGTCTGACTCACTTCAGTGATCGGGTCCATTATTTGGGACCAGCCAATGGTTCGGAGTCATGATAATTTAGCATGTCGTACACAGAGAGGACCATGTGAGGGTCAAATCTCAAATCAAAACATGCGTGTCCTGAAACTACAACCACTGCTTACCTCAGCTTCACCGTTGGTCTTGCCAGCGTCTTCTTTTCACGCTTCTTGCGTTTCCGCTTGATCTCAGTAGCCTAGGACAAAAAAATTATTAAATGGTTGCAAACTGGCTTGTTTGGTTCAACATTTCTACATCCTAATGCTGCGTCAGGCTCATTAAATCATTTTAAACCCCCACAGTAGGGTCAGGACAAAGCTTGTCATCATCCACAGCATTTACAGACTGAACTTTTTATAGGACACATTTGATCCATGGGTAAAGAGCTTCTTTTCTGCACTCACCTCTTTCACAGCTTCATGACATCCAGATTCTTGCGTGGCACGTCGCCCGTCTCATAGAAAGACAAGCGCTCTTCCACCTGTCCGCGCAGCTTGTCCCCGTACACACTTGCAAGCAAAGACATTCAATAATAAATCACAAATTGTTAAGATAACAGTAGTTTAGCAACCTAGTGGCTTTGCTCAGAATAAAGCTTATCACCACCAACCCGAAGGATGACTACTGTTGACGAAAAATGTGAACATCATTGTAATAATGCCACAGAGCGTGAAACTCAAAAGGAAATTCAACAAGGCCGTGCCACTTACACATTACTTATTTGAAATAAATTGGCTCAACGAGCTTTTAACATTACATTTAATTGTTGGAGATCAATTCCTCAATTAGCTTAATGTTAGTTCCTGTGTTTTTGTCCAACTAGTTCATCAGATGTTCTACCTCAGACTGTGGGGGTGCATTGGGGGAGCGGGATCACTCTGGGGGAGCGGGATCACTCTGGGGGAGCGGGATCACTCTGGGGGAGAGGGATCACTCTGGGGGAGAGGGATCACTCTGGGGGAGAGGGATCACTCTGGGGAGAGGGATCACTCTGGGGGAGAGGGATCACTCTGGGGGAGAGGGATCACTCTGGGGGAGAGGACGGTGTTCCTTCACTACAGGTTTATGAGAGATTCAATTTGCCCCTGTGTTAATCACCAAGGTGTGTTTTTACTTTTTAAATGCACGTGACGTGCAAAGATGAAATTAAACTCTGGCATGGCGACTATTGGAAGTTCGTACTTCAACCAAATGGCTCGATCTACTACGATCCTGGTCCCGTTCTCCTGTAGCAGCTCCGCGTCTCCACATTCTAAAACACGGAGTCCCTCCACCTTGATTTTTTTTGTCATGGAAAGAAGCTACAGAACATAAACATACAATTTAGTCATTGTTTCCAGATGTTTAGTAAAATACTAGCCATATAGGGCGCATGAGTAAAACACCTTGAGTACTTTACTCACCTCTACCTCCGTGAAGGCTGTGGCGTGGAAGGAGAAACCGTGGTTCGGGGCATTTTTGCCACGCAGATGGCTCACCTGGATCAACATGCCATCTGTTATGGGAACCAGATTGGACTCCCTCCAGAGGCAAACCTGGATCTCCCCCTCATCCTGCAAAAACAGAACGGGCTAAAGTAGTGCTTAGTCACAGGTACAATGTGATTTAGGCAGACACTTCCCAGAGCATTTCAATTGCACTTGAGTGATAAATGTTTTGTTACAGAGTATAAATCAGTTGTTGGACATAATTTCCACTTCTCCCTACCTCTTTTAGTGTCACATTCCTGAGTGGGACTGGTAGTTCTGAGCCCATCTGATGTTTTATAATTGGCTCAATCTAAATGTTGCAGGTAAAGGGGGAAAATATATATATATATATATATTATGCACATGTCTCTGGAATTGTAACTTATACAATGTTTCTTTGGTGTAATAACATGCATGTTTCTATGTAAACTTAATACACTATATTCTAGTTGAGTATGTAGGCCTCAGTGCTTTGTGTGCAATTACAACTTGACCTTTTGTTTTTGTTTCACAGTTGTCTGTGCAACATAGGATGATATTTTCAAAGCACTTCATGGTAAGTTACATTATATCAATGTTTTAAAATTGTTGATGTATGATGTTACTTGCTTAAAACATTGTAAATCTGAGTATAACGTACCTCGTTGATGAACCCTTGAACTGTCACCAATTGCTCAATCCCTGTGGTCAGATCCAGAATTGGCACCAGGGTGGAGGGAGGTGTCAGGAGGGCCTTGCCTTCCTCCTCCAAATGGCCTGGAGCGGGGCACACATGTATATGGCTGTGTTCTTTCTGCTGAGCATGGATTTGGTATGACCAAATTTGCTCATGCCATAATTCCTTACAATGTAAGTTTGGCCCTCGTTTATTTGCTGGAGCAAATCTTCAAATAAAACACATTTCTGTACAGTCTGCCCGTCTGTGACCGCAGCTGTTCGGTTTCGATAAACCTGTGTGGCCTTGGCACCCTCTCCATCGAACTCCCACCTTTGTACTTTTGTGGTGTCTTTCACCGCCAGAACCTTCACCTTAATTTGTGGGAGCCTTTCTTAAGGCTTAGTGGCCGTTCTAAAGGTTTTGGACAGAGACATTCTGAAAAAAACTCAAGATAATAAGCAACGTATTAATGATTTCATAAAATACCAGAGACACCGTACTATTATTTCATGACATTTAGGTTGAGATTTTAGTTGTTCAATTAAAATATACATATGGGACGTGCATTAAATGCATAGTAAAACTGTTTATCATCCTGATAATCAACTACTCTAGTATAATATTGTAAGCCAACATTCAGGTACGATAGGGGCGCAGTGCATATTTCACGTTGGCTTATAGCCTGCTATTAAACGTAACAAAGGAAGTACTTCCGTATCCGGCATATCTACGCCCACGCGACGAGGAAAGCGCTATGATAGTTATGCGTTATGTTAGGAACGGCTTTCCTCAGTTGTTCAGGGTTACATGGAGGTTGTCAGCACAGGAAATCAGTGGATTGACAGATTGATACATCATTACAACTGAGGACACCCATAAGAAATTATTGAGTGAACTTTTTTTACACAAATTGTCTTCGAGTCAAGTTGCATTATTATTGTTGGAGGTCAGTGCCTCAATTAGTTTAATGTTAGTTCCTGTGTTTTAGTCCAACTAGTTCATCAGATGTTCTACCTCAGACTGTGGGGGTGCATTGGGGGAGAGGGATCACTCTGGAGGAGACCTTAGCCCTCTCCAGTCACCCTGCTCGGTTCCTGCCCCGCCCTGCCATCACTGTAGCCACTTTATTCCCCAGCAGGGAGGGGGGGGTGCCCCAGTACCTGAACAGGGCCTTGTTATGGCGCAGTTCCACTACAGCGCGGAGCTCGCTTTAAGCGTGCCGTGTCGTGCCCGTTTTTGGTTGCGCTTCCACTAGGCCTAGTTCCGGCCCGGCCTAGTGGAAAAAGCGAGCTCCAACCTGAAGAAGAAAAGGGCATTAGCTTCAATGATCAACAGAGCTTTGGGGGAGGTACCATGAGAAATGGATTACTCAGGAGGACCATCAGGACCGGAAGTATCAACACAGAGATTCAGGGGATTGACAGATTTGGTAAACACATCATTGGTCCTAGAGTAATTTATATACAGTGAACACATTGCACTTTAACTCACCACTTCTCAGATTAAATCTGGGGCCACTTGGGCCATCTTGCAGCGCAGGTACTCCTGCAGCCCGAGTGGATATTCAGCCAGAGCCACCACGCGAGTGGAGAATCTCTCAATGGGTGAGATGTCCATACCTGAAGGATAGATTAAGAAAATGTGTTAAGCAGAGGTTTACTACCATTGCATGAACCATGTTGTGCAGTGGGTTGAACTAGGGCTGTGCAATTAATCATATTTTAATCGCAATTACGATTTTGTCCTGCCACAATTACAAAAAAACGATTATTTTGCTTTGCTAGGTTGTGACCGTGCACTGCAACATATTTGATCTAATTTATTTTTATTTATCATATTTATGTTTAGTGGCTTGTGGAAGTGCGCTCAAATATTTGTTGATCTTGTTTATTGGTATTTAACATTTATTTTGGTTTTTCAGTTGAACTATACGTTCAGGGTAAACAGTTAAAAAGATACAGTTCAAATTATTATTTGTATTTGTTTTAAAGGGCCATGTCATGCTTTTCCGGTTATTACCCGTCCCCTTGTGTGTTGAAGGTTTGTATGCATGTAAACGGTCTGCAGAGTCACAAACCCTCAAAGAACACCCTGTAGCGAGTAAAACTCTAACACAGTCTATGCTGCCCCAAAACGCCTCGTTGGAGATTTCTCATTTTCCATCGTTTACTTCCTGGGTACTGTGACGTGTGAATAGACCCTCTGCCAGCATTTCACGAAACAAAGCTTCACAAACCTTTCAGCGATTCATGCCGGATATGTACAGCGTAGGGCACTGAAGAACGATGCTGTTCCTACTTTGTTTGGACCAGCGGGAGATTCGGGTACACAACCTGTAAGTATTCATTGTTGTTTGTGTATTTATGATGTTTAAAACAAACAAGGTATCTACCACGACTGTTGAAATGGGTAAACGTTTTTCAGGCTGCCAAGCCATTGACACAGTGCTAACTGGGCTAACTAAGTTGCTAGCGTTTCCATATATCAACTCGAATGTCAGCAGATGGCCTTACATGTATCTCATAGCAGGAGAATGTCTGCATTCACACACGAAATACTCAGACAGTATACTCCGGGTGATTTACCGTACGGTCAGTCGCGAAACTTAATTACATTATAGTTGGCGTTCCTAGCGTGTATGCTACCGAGCTAAAAAAGAAGGCTACCAAGAGCTAGACATGAGTTTGCCAGGGAAAACATTGTTTTTATGCCAGCTACAATGAATGACCGAACGTAGCAGACTACCCGTATAAGATTGCAATTGTAAACATGTTCTTGCTAGCCCAATATGAACCACTAGCTGTTGTCAGGGATGCAAAAGGTGACAAGGATCCGAGCCCCCCCAACCCCACGGAATATCGGCTTTAAAATGAGGAATAACAGGATGTTAGCAGTCAGAACAACTAAAGCAGCAGTGTTAATAATAACAGAAACACCAAAGAGTCGCATCTAATAGAAATATATAAAAGCATTTATTTTAATTGTGTAGCAGTCAGTTTATAATTTTGGCAGCACTGTTGAGCATTTTGAAAATGTATTTTCATGCCTCTGTGCAAGGCTTAGTCTTTCTATCTTTATAGCCAGTGGTGTAAAGTAACTAAGTTCATAAACTCAACAAGTACTATACTTGGGTACAATTTTGAGATACTTGTACTTTATGTATTTCAATGTTTTGCTACTTTGTTCTTCTACTCCTCTACAGTTCAGAGGTAAAAGGTGTACTTTGACTCCACTACATGTATTTAATACCTTTAGTTACTTTACAGATGTGGATGAATGATGTGAAATATAATCAAGTGTTAAATCAGACTTCAGTTCCACCTGGAGTAAATTCACAAGCTACCCTGCAGTATACAAAGTCATTCAAACTAGCTGCACCTTTACCAGCTTTGAGAACACTTTCATGATCAATCATTATAAAACATATCATATATATTATTCTGAAATGGACCAATCTGCACAATGACTACTTTTACTGTCGCTACTTTAACTATATTTTGATGAGAATACTTTTGTACTTTTATTTGAGGAACATTTTGATTGCAGGATTGTTCCTACACTCTGGTACTTCTACTCAAACCTGAGTACTTAGATCTTGTACTTGAGTACAAGATCTGAGTGCTTCTACTTTTACTCTAGTACAAGATCTATACTTATACCACCTCCGTTTATAGCCTATGAAAAAAAACTATTAGAAAACGAAGGCTAAAGCTAACGTTAGCAGATAGTGACAATGTATGCTAGTTAGCTAGCTCAACGATAATATTGCGACAGAAAAACTTTTCAGTGCACATCACGCTCTGCCGCTCCGACAGGGAGCTCTGCTCTGAACACCTGAACGGCCCGTTCTAACAGCTGTTCACCAGCGGTCCAGTCTGTGCCACAGTGACTCCGGACCACACAGTTAATATTAACGAACGCACCGTAGGTAATGTAGCTGCTGAAGCTAGACCCTCATCCCGGAGCAGCAGAGCCTTATTATACATCCATGAGCAGAGCCGACAGGAAGACTCGAGCACACAGCTCCCGCTTCATTATAATATATAAAAAAAGAACACCATGCGTGTCATGATGGCACATAACAGCTCGCGGCCGCAGATTACTCCGGGTCCCAGACCCCCCCCCCATACCCTGAAAATATTTTTATTGCAGATCTACACTTATCACACAAACGACCTATTTTGGATTCAAAACGGCGAATTTTGCCGAAAGGTGACAAGTTTGCATCCCTGTGTTGTTCATAGTAGGTTGGCATATTACACTGAACTAGCACACGTAGGTTAGCATATGAATCTAGCTGGCAAGCTAACGAACCTAAAACAACTACGTTTCTCTAATATTTTGTGATTTGCATTTGATTTCGTTAGGAATGTGTCCCAGAAAGTGTTGCTTTTATGAAATTGACTGTTTTCATCGGATACAAAATTAATTTTATGAATGTTATGTTTATCTTTGTTAGAGTACATCTCAGCAGGACCCCGGTACCCACCACCGCTCCAGTACAGTCGGACCCAACACCCTCAAAGGAGGAACTGGTTGCCCGCCATGTCTCCCGTTTCAGTCCAGGGGAGGTCGGAAGCCAACATACTGTCCAGCCAGATCAGGAAACTCCTGGCGTATCCGGCGGACAACACATGACCATTCTGATGCCTCGTCCTAAAAAGCCCCGGCACCAGTTTACAAACCTGCGATAGGCAAGATGCCGAAAACGCCTATAAGGGGAGGAATGGATGATTTACAGGGTGTGTGTGTGTGTGTGTATATATATATATATATATCTTAATAGCCTTTCTTCCCTGAATTATTTGCTCCTATAACATATCATTCATATATAGCAAACCATGATTTGATTTTTCATCAAACACAGTAGTAGTTAATTATAGGTAAGAATAACTTACTCTTCTTCCGTTCTACGCCTCAAAGGTCCATAATCTAATCTGTAAATAGTATGGAGGTTCTGCAGGGTGTATGGTTGAGACAGTTTGGCTCTAGTCCTGGGTGGTGTACCATGCACATAATGGGTGCTGGGACTTGGTTCATTCGTGTTACAACCTATAGGAAGGTAAGATATTTGTAACATAACACGTTTAGCAATTAAACCAACTATGGCAAGGTTTACAAAATAAACATTCAATTACTAAGGAAGAAATAAAAAGTCTATTGACTTGACAAATATGTATGGTGTATATCTTGGCATATAATGTTGTGTGCTACTGTTGGTGTTTTCAGCTAGCTGGCTACATAATGTTGTAACTGTCAGCTCGGCTACCTTTTCTTATTTCTTTGCAACAGACGGGTTCCACTTCGGTAGGCATCATGGCGCAGTTTCCAAAAGTGCACCTAAATAACAACAGTTGTAGGTACAGTTCGGTTAGTTAGCGGACAAACTTGTTACTTTGATGTAGATACATGATGCAGTTCTATCATCTGAAATGTAAGAGCGATACTAAATAAAAACGTTCCACTGTGAAACCGTCTGCTCTAGTTTGGGACGGTGGATCAGGTCTATCACGTTGGTCTGTCTCACTTTCAGGATCGGACTCCGGTTCAAACATATACGGCTGTACCGACGCCATTGTAAAACTGATGTTCCGCTCGGAGCCGAAAATTGCACTGTGTTAGACATGGGCGGAGCCCAGTCTCTGGTGGTTGACCAATCGGAGCACACTGGGCTCACAGGAGGGGGGGGCAGGAGCTCCAACAAGCCGTTTAGGACAGAGTGAATACACATACTATACAAAGATGCTGTATGAGAAACCAATGTGAGTTTGGAAAATTGCACAATATAAATCTATTTTAGTATACCTCAACAATGGAAATATGATCAGTAGAAATGGCCATGACATGGGAACTTTAAGCAGAGGTTTACTACCATTGCATGAACCATGTTGTGCAGTAGGTTGAACACAACCAAAGAGATTTCACTGATAAGTCATTGCATTTGTGTTTGTTTCTCCCGACAGGATCCGCAGAGCGGACGGTGTGCCTTTACTACAGGTTTATGAGAGATTTTATTTGCCCCCCTGTGTTAATCACCAAGGACATTTATTAGTCCAGGGTGGGCAAATAGGGGCATGGTGTGTGTTTAAGTTTTAAATGCATGTGACGTGCACAGATGCCAACGTAGTAAAGATTAAATGAAGTTTGCGTACCCATGGAGGAACAGGATGCTTCCAGGATGGCCTGAGCCTTGGTGCCGTCCATCACCACGGCCTCCATGCTCTGCGGACGATTCTGACCAGCTCTGGGAAGTGGTATCCAGCTGTGCCTTGGAGGCAGCCAGGCCGGTGAGACCCTTCACCAGCGAGTGGAAGTGCAGACCTACAGGACAGACAACAGATTAGATGTGTTGAGTTCAGTGGAAGAGTGGCAGAACAGCATGTGACCAGCGCCTGTTCAGATTTTCAGTATGAACCTTCATGAGTTTCAGGGTTAAAAAAAAATGACATCACAACAGGAGTAAAAAACTGAGACAGGAAAATGATCCTCACTTCTGCTCATCTCTGCCACCACCTCTCCAGTCTGGATGGACACGGTAAACTCTTCTTGTAAAGATTCTCCGACCTTGGAATCTGAAACCCCCAACACGGCTTTCTTCTTCGCAGAGAGGGGCAGGTTTGTCTCTAGGAACAACTTCAGGTCACCATGAACCACACCTGCAAGGGAAGGAGGAAGATTACTTATTGGTCTGTAGAGACTTGGTTCAAATTACTCTTGAAACCTGCAGAAGAGCCATTTGAAAGATGCAACACATCATACATGGATCTGCCAGAAGAATCCTTTATTGTTCAGTTTATGATGGGCTACTGCTAATATGTGAAGGTTAACAATTGATTTGGTTTAAACCAGGGGCGTCGCCTGGACCTGGAAACATTCGGGGCTTAGCCCACAGTGGCGGTGTAGGTACCAGAATCTGTTCGGGGTTCGTTATGCTTACCAATGACGTCACGTATTGGCTGTACAGCAAACAAAGAGGACATTTTACACGGCCAAATTCTGCAAATAATATTAAAAAAAATAAAACAATCGACAGTACTGTAAACATATGTAAATAACCCAATTTGTGTTCTGTGAAACTGAAAAGGATATTACATTGTTTTTTGTTACTTTTGTTGCAGTTGTACGTCTTAAATGTAATTTAGGTTAACTTCCTGTGCTTTTATTTTGAAGGCGAGTTTAGGCTGTTGACAGGAAGTTGTTGCTATGGAAACAACATGACGGAGAAAAAAGTAATATCTTCTACATATAAAGACGTAGAAAGTAAAGAATAACGTGGCCTACAAGATCTGTTACAATGAAGGCTCGATAATCAGCTTGCGGCATATAGGTGTGTCGTGTGTGTGTAACAGGGTTATCAAGGTTGGTATAAAATCCTTGATAAATCGGAGAATTACGCCATCTGGTGTCACAAACAAACGTGTGCCTGCATTAGCTTTGTTAGGCATAAAGTGCCTCTGGATGCTTCTCTAAATCGAGCTTGTACCACTCATAACAGCAGCGCCATCATAACTTTGAGCAACACATTTAAGATGTCCTATTCCATGTTTGTCAAGTAGCTGCTCTATTGTGTCAGTAATGGTTTTAGCATCAAATGCTGCAAGCTGAGAAAGTCCAAGGAACCTTTCTTTCACTGAGCCTTCTGGATTTACATATCGCACACAATGCAAGCTGCTCTGTGTGATTATCCCTTGCTTCATCCACCATTACCGAGTACATTTTTGCCTCTTTAATCTCAGAGATTATCCTTGCCATTACAACGTCAGCGGTGCTTTCAATCATATCATTCTGTGATGAGGGTGAGAGATAGGTCACACATGAAGGTGGCTTATATGTTTGCAGAAAATGATCAAAGTTTTCAAGAAGCTTCATGCATTCCATAAAATTACCCTTGTCATCACTCTCTCCTGCTTCGTCGTGCCCTCTAAAAGCAATCCCTTGCTTCCCAAGAAAGGCCGTCACTGCTGCTACGCGTTTCAGATCCTCCCTACGATCCTGAATCTCACTGACATTTGCAGCATGTAGCTGCTCTGTGATGTCCCCATGGACGTGGGTGGCTTTAAAGCTCTTCCAAAGAATAGTTGAGGCCTTGTGGATCAGTCAATCAGTTTCCAGCTCTGTCAAATAAATGAATTTCAAGATACACAAATTTGTCTTCATTAAAATGAGTGTCACCACTGTCACAAAATATAATACTAACCAATTGAAAATAGTTAAATTTACATTGGAAACCTCTTGTAGATATCACTGTTAGAGTAGTTATCTGCCAATAGGACAGAATCATTCCTATACAAATGCAGTTTGAGTAATTCACTTAACACTTTAATATAGTAATTTTCACTTACTCTAATAGTCATCTTTCTGCATTCAAAACTAAGGAAAGCTGTACAATTTGACATGATAATGAGGAAAAAAGGCCTCCGACAATGCAGATCATTTTTTTATCATGAATTTTAAGATGGGTCAAGGCTTAATATTTGGGAGTATAGTGTCCCTTGCCCCCCTTTCAGGAGCCACACTGGATTAGCTTTGATCTGAAATCTCTGTATATAAAAAGCTTGTTAGCTGGCTGTCCATCTCATAATGTTCACACAGAAACTAGCTGTCAATAGGAATATCATTCAGAAGAATTATAATTTCATGCAAAAATCTGTCACAAAAAGAGGTTGCACATTTAAATTCAGGTGTTGTTATGGCAACGTCAGTGGCCAAACAGCCACATTTACTGCTGCAAATACGTTCAAACATGCTGTCGACACAAAGCAGTGGCAACTATGCCACCATTTCAGCTGACTTTTTCAGAAATACTGTCACATAACATCCATATATTTCAGTGCTAGGTTGATGCTTAGCTAAGCTAACTATGAAACACTTTCACTGACAGGACTCAGGATCAACTGTGTACTGTAAGGTAGCTTCTATCTTCATGCAAGTCAACATTTCCCAGAGAGCTTTCTTTTAAATCACCAGGTAACGCTAAAAAAACACAACATTTAGATTGTATGACCAAGTGTTTATTTAATATCTCTGGCTAGCTATAGCTACTTGCTAACGGTTTAGCTTACCCCCGCGATTCAAAGTAACGTCAACGTAGCTGTAATTTATGCTTTGCTTACATGTTCGCTTACTGGTGGTGTCTTTCCTCTGTTGCATTCACTGAACACGGGAAATTACAATTATGCCGTCCTCTAGGTAAAGTACGGTTAATGTATTATTGAAGGAGAATTTGTCCGGGGCTAAAGAAAAAACATCCGGAAAATAGCTGAAAATGTCAGAACACATGCATTCAAAAGGCTTTCCTCAGTTGTGCAGGGTTACATGGAGGTTGTCAGCACAGGAAATCAGTGGATTGACAGATTGATACATTACAACTGAGGACACAAATGCAGCCAAAAAAAGGAAATGATCTTGCCTTCAGAAATTGCACTGATGTTCTCCAGAGCACCCTGCACCGATTTGAAGGGGAAGAAGGCAGCGAGGCTCACCACCATGCTGTTAAACTTGGCAATGCTCAGCACACTGGCTTCAACCTGGAAAAAAACAAAGATAATGTTACTACCTGTGATCCAGTCAGAAAATATCAATTGTAACATTAAAAGGCGCGGAGGAAAGACAAACCTGAAGCAGCAGCATGCCGAACACGTGGTTCTCATGTGATGTGTTAAGCTAACCTTAAATTTAGCAATTATACCCTAGCATCATCATATCTTCAGGTGTTTCATTGCATAATAAGGCAACGCAATGTTTGATAAAATACAACTACATTAACATGCCATTATAGCTATTAACTTAAGCTAACTGCACCACGTGATAACAGCTACTAAGCTACATAAGCTAACGTTAGCTCGTTGGTTTCAGCACATGTCAGCCAGTAATTGACATGATAAAATACTTAATATTTTCAGTTCACTATAAGCTAAATAAAGCAACTACACACTTTTGTGACATTAAATAAGATTATTTTAAGTTTACCGGAGGTTATGCTCTTCTTTGTCCTTTGGAAGGCTTGAAGCAGAAAGAGACTGAAGGAGGGTCCTGTCCGTTTATATAGAATATAATCTGATGAACGTAAAACAATGAAGCTCAACAGATAGAGTCATACAGGTTGAAGCTAAACTAACAACCAATCACATGACGGTGTTTTCCTCCTCAGAACATCGACTCAGCCAATGTGGAGCCGGTGAAATACCACGAGGCTGTTTTCAATAACGTATCAAGATTATTACCATCACCTGTGTGTCTCCTCTGTCCTCAGTGGGTTCCTCGAGGGTTCGGTTGTCTGTTATTGGTTATATTTTGAACACTAGATGGCGCAGTGGGGCAACAGCATAGCATCGATGTCCCTGGTACAGGTGTGTGATATGGGACTGGGAAGAATAAACTGTTTTCTGACCGTGTCGCCGAGCACAAAATATACAAAATAAAATGGTATTGAAAGCAAAAAACTTCGTCGTCAAAGGAGATCACACTCGTCCTACTAAATCACCCAGTTTAGCAAATCCCTCTGTGATATTGAGTGGCAATAGTCACCACATTTAAGACAGTGAATATATGGCAATCTACACTGAATTATATTTTAAAATGGAGAGCTGTGCAGACATGTGTGCAAAATGCAGAGAGCTTAGCATGAACATGGCTCACACAAGATGTTGTTCACATGATGTGCATTAATGTAATGTTATTATGGGGTGGATACCAGTCACTGTCAGTGGGGGTCCTGGCCTTGTTGGTGAAATGAAGTCCATTTATTGAACCAATATGAAGACACTTGAGCTTTTGCCTTAGAATAATAAGCATTTTCAAACTGGTTTATAAATTGGGAAAGAAATATTTGGACAGTTATTAATACTTACCCTTATCTTATCATTCATTGCTTTTATAAAAAACAGATTTCATGTCTTCTTCTGCTTTCTTCTTAGACGCCAACTCCACTGAATTCGACCCAGACTCAAAGCATCCTGTGGTGAGTCTGTTGTTAAATTCAGGAGTGAAATACGTTTTTGTTTTTACCTGGAAAGTGCATTAAATTCAGATTACCATTCTGATCTCACCGCTGCCTCCTTCCTTCAGTTTGACAGTTTTGTAGCTAGGCAAAAGTAATAACTAAGTGGCTCGGGAAACCAAACATCAACATTTTGGGTCCATGGCCAGGAAACTGCCCAGACCTGAATCCCTTTTGAGAACTTGTGGTCAATCCTCAAGTGGCGGGTGGACAAACAAAAACACACCAATTCTGACAAACTCCAAGCATTGATAGTGCAAGAATGGGCTGCCATCAGTCAGGATGTGGCCCAGAAGTTAATTGCCAGCATGTCAGGGCGAATTACAGAGGTCTTGAAAATGAAGGGTCAACACTGCAAATATTGCCTCTTTGCATACATTTCATGTTATTGTCAATAAAAGACTTTGACACTTGTGAACTGCTTGTGAATATACTTCAGTATACCGTAGTAACATCTGACAAAAAGATCTACAAACACTGAAGCGGCCAACTTTGTGAAAACCAAATCTTGTGTCATTCTCAACACTTTTGACCACGGCTGTAGAGTTTAAATGTAGTATATTTGGTCAAATA